CCGACGCGGCCTGCCCGGCGTCCGTCACGTGCATCCTTGAAGAGGGGGTGTCAGCCCGCGCGGTGTTGACGCGCTTCTGGCTGCACAAGCACCCGGAGGTGCGCGATCTCTTTGGCTGCACAACACGCAAAAGTGAGCGGCGTGGGGACGACTCGCTGCCGGGGTGGCGTGAAGGCGGCGACAAGAGTGAGGAGAATTTCTTTGTTGACAGCCACGGCTTTCTCGTTGTGCAGGCGTTGCTGCAGAAGTACGACGGGCACGCAAGCAGGGGCCGGGACCACGCGGTGGGGGAGTTCATCCACCGCTGGCGCACCGCCTTCCTGCGTGGGCTGCAGCCGAGGCACCTGCCGGAGGGCTGGTGCGCCGAAGACGGCATCCTGCTGTAGCGCTGCCCATGGTGTACAGGTTGTGTCTGTTTGAGTGTGTGCCTGTGTGTGTGTGAGAGAGAGGGTGGGGGAGAAATCTTGGCATGCTGTTGGATGTTGGCTTTGCACTTACTCCTCTGTGTTTGTTCTTGTTGCTCAGTTTGGCACGTACCCTCTTAAGCAAATGGCAAATCAGCAAGACGATGTGCGGGACACCCTTGCCCAGAAGGAAGACGGCTTGGCCAACAAAGTGGCGGACAAGGTTGTTATTGAGACATTCCACGATAACATGGATCCGCTGAATGAAGTGAAACGGTTTAGCATCGTAGCTGTCGCCATTTTTGGCAGCATCGCTGCCTCCTTCGCACATTTCTTCAACCTTTTCAGCGGTGAACTTCAGGAAAAGTACGACCTGTCGCAGCGGGATCTGTCGACTATCGGCACTGTTGGCACCGTCTTCTGCTACTTCACGCTGCCGTATGGTTTCATCTACGACTACTTTGGACCGGCTCCAATCTTCGGTATCGCTGCAGTTATGTTTCCCCTTGGCTCCCTTCTGCTGGCCTTGGCGTTCAATGGCTACATCTACGGTACCGTGGTGCGCATCAGTGTATTCAACGCCATTCTCAACATTGGTACAATTATGTTTGACATTGGCTGCCAGATGACGGTACTCAGCATATTCCCATCCAGCCGCGGGGCCATTGTGGCAGTCATGAAGACATTCAATGGGCTGGGCTCCCCGATTATTGGGTCGATTCAGCTCGCTTTCTTCGACTCGCACCCGGACAACTTCTTCTACTTCCTTATGGTGCTTGTGGTGGTGATTGCGACCTCATGCATGCTCGTTGTGCGCCTGCCGCCGTACCACCTGACTGGATACCAGCAATCGCACCTTAGCGAGGCGGAAAAGACGGAGCGGCTCGCCACCCGAGCACAGTACCTGCGGCAAAAGACACCGATTCCCAGGTTCGTGGTGGGGCTCTTCATCGTCGTTGTGCTTATTGTGTTTCTCCCACTGCACGGGGCCCTCGTCGCCTACCTGGAGCTTGGCCACGAATACAAGGTGGCCTTCGCAGTTACAAGCATTGTGTTAACATTCCTCGGTGCTATTACAATGACGCTTCCGCTGAGGATTCTCGACCGAGATTATTGGACAGAGAGGCGACGGAATCGTCGTAGAGACATGGCAGCACTGGACGATATTGCAGTCGATCACCGACAGGAACCTCTGAGCAATGAGGAGATGAAGGATGGGAAAGAAGAAAAGGAAGCCACAAAAAGTGCTGTCGTAGAGACGGAAATAGACTACATTGCGCCGCAGTACCAGACGACCTTTTATGAGAGTGTTTGCACAGCGCGACTGTGGGCTGTGTTGTGGACCCTCTTCGCTACAGTGGGCGCGCAGACTGTGATCATGCTGAATGCACGCTTCATCTTCGCCGCTCTGTCCGGTGAGAAGGTGAGCAACTCGATGGGAACTCTCCTGACGGTGCTGGATGGCGTTGGAAGCGCTGTTGGGCGTCTATTTGTGGGTGCGTTTGAGATATGGTCACAACATAAAAAGCCAGAGGAGCGCATCCCCATGACTGTCACGCTCTTTGTGCCATCAGGCGTGATGGTCGTTTCGATGGTGCTCATCGTCACTGTGCCAGCGGTCGCACTGCCGCTGCCATATATCTTAAGCGCCCTGGCAAATGGGTTCCGGGCGGGTTTGATTGTGTTGATGATTCGCACCATCTATGTCAAGGACATCGCAAAGCACTACAACTTCTGTTTTCTCTCAACGGTGTTTGCGACGGTTCTCTTGAACCGGTTTGCATATGGCGAGTGGTATACCCGTGAGGCTGAAAAGCTTGGCACGCTTGTCTGCCTTGAGCGCCGTTGCGTGCTCATGCCACTTCTGCTGATGCTCGGGATCAACTGCACCGGCTTCCTTACCACCACATACGTCCACGTGTCTTACACCCGCTACTGCCGCAAGGTGCTGGCGGAGAGGCGGCGCATCAAGGAGAGTGCCGTGGTTGGGGAAGGTCCTCTTATTGAAGATCGAGGTNCCCGCTACTGCCGCAAGGTGCTGGCGGAGAGGCGGCGCATCAAGGAGAGTGCCGTGGTTGGGGAAGGTCCTCTTATTGAAGATCGAGGTCGTGCCAGCTAATGACACTCGCATCTCTGAGTAAGTTTTGTTTTGTTTTCCGTTCCTGCCATTTTTTCTCTCTTTGTTTGCTTAGTTGACCTGCTTGTCTGGGGGGTTTCCTTTCGACCAATACCCATGGATTAAGAGGTGCGACGCCGCTCAGAGAAAAAAAAAAAGCAAATACCTAAATGAAAGCGACGTTGTTTATGCTGAGAAAAAACGATTTTTTTTTAAATGTTATTGCCTTACCCCGCTACAGCAAGCTTTATCCAATGCATACTGCTAGATTTAGTCACGAACGTAGTTATGATTTGATTTGTTTCTTTGCAAGCGTTTATTTTCTTACTGTTTCCCTTTCCTGCTCGTTTTGTTGATCCCCCTCCCTTTTAAAGTCTGTCCCAGTACCCCGTCATTTTCCTCTCGCTGCAGCTGGCTTACCAAAGGAGCAGGCGCCGTCCGAGGGAGTCCGGGTGATTTCTGGGGTGGGCGTCCTTTTTTTTGTTTTCTTTTTTTTTTTGTTTGCTTGTTATTGGCCGGGGGTATGTATTAAATGAAAGCGTCTCTTTGTGGGCACCACGCGGGAAGCGTGGGGAAGAACGTCTCCCATTGTCTGCATAGTGCAGCCTCTCCTCCTCCTCCTCCTCCTGATTCCTCCGTTCCTTTACTCCATTGCTGGTAATTAGGGTTCTTACAAGGACTGCTAACCGTCTTGGAAGGGGAAAAAAGGCAGAACAACCGTAAAACAGGATTCTCCATCAGAGTCAAAGTCCAACATATCGATATGTTTCGCCGCTCCCTCAGTCGCATCAAGGCAAAGGTCATGCCGAGCGTGGACGCGCTTCGAGACTTGGGCGATGGTGCCTCTATCGCCGTTGGGGGCTTCGGCGTCTGCGGCATGCCTACGGCGCTTCTGGGTCGGCTGAACAAAGATGGGAGGAAGAGCCTTCACGTCATCTCCGCCGCCACGAATGGCGAGGATTCCGTCGCCATGGGCCGGCTTCTGAACGATGGACAAGTGGACACACTCACGACATCACATCTCGGCCTCAACAAACTCGTGTGCAATCTGCTGAACGAAGGCAAGTTGAAGCTGGACCTGTCCCCTATGGGGACGTTGGTGGAGCGCCTCCGCTGCGGTGGCGCCGGTATTCCGGCGTTCTACACGACAACAGGCTTCGGCACGGGTGTGTCAGAGGGCAGCATTCCGGCCACTTTTTCGTCTGACGGCTCTGGGCGGGTGACGAAAGTCTCCGAGCCGCGCGAGACACGCGAAGTTCATGGGCGTTGGTGTGTCCTGGAGCACGCCATTGAAACGGACTACGCTTTCATCAAGGCGTGGAAGGCTGACACGAAGGGCAATCTTGTCTTCCGCGGCACTACGCGAAACCTGAATGCGGTCATGGCGACCTGCGCCCGTATATGCATCGCCGAGGTGGAGGAGATCGTGGAGGCCGGGCAGCTGAAGCCGAATGAAATACACGTCCCTGGCATCTACGTGGACCGGATTGTGTGTCCGAAAAACGCTGAGAAGCATGTGATTCACAATGTGAACGACGGAGAGGAACATGTTCCAGTACCGTTAAGTGAAAAACAAGAACGTATTATTCAGCGTGCAGCCCTCGAGCTGTGCGACGGGATGCACGTGAAACTCGGTATTGGATTGCCTTCGATGGTGGCGTCCTTTTTGCCACGGAATGTGAAGCTTATCACACATTCGGAAGCCGGCATGTTGTGGGAGGATGGGAGCTCAAAGAAGCACGAATGGGTTGACCTAGACTTTACGAACGATCGTGCAGAAGCCGTGGTGGTCTCCGAACCTGGCGCCTCCTTGTTTGACAGTGCTGTGGCGTTCGACATGCTCCGCGGTGGCCACCTGGACGCGACTCTGTTGAGCGCCTTTGAGGTGTCGGCCAGGGGTGATATCGCAAGTTGGTGCGCCCCTGGAATTACTCCAGATGCCTTGGCCGGAACAACCGGTATCATATGCAGTGGCGGCAAGATTATTGCCCTCATGGAACATGTGCACAGTGATGGCAGTCCACGTATTGTGGAGCAGTGCAGCATGCCCGTAACAGGAAAGGGCATCGTCGACACTCTCATCACGGATTTGGCAGTATTTGCCTTTGTGCAAAAAGGTGGAAACGCCCACCAGCTGTCTTTGAAGGAAGTCGCGGAGGGTGTTACCATTGAAGAGCTCAAGGCTAAAACGGCCGCTGACTTCCTCATCCCTGACGACGTGAAGAATATGGGACAGGCGTAATTAGTCTCGTAGTATTTCACTGCTGCCTTTCGGTACTGTGGACGGACATATATATATATATATTTATGCATTTCACTATCGTCTTTGTGGGCCTGATATGAGAGAAATATGTATGTGGACATGCTTATTTGCACTTCAATTGGCCAGTGCGAAACCGCAGCTTGAGTTGCTAGGCTGCTGCACGCCCCCTACTTCATCGTTGATTACCTAGTAGGGCCTGCTTTTCGGCAGTGGCGTAAAAGGAGTATTATGGTTGGATATTGAGTGGTTTATTTCCTCTCTGGGTATATTCTGGAAGAGAATGCGAGCGCCGAGTGATTTCTTTCCTTTCTGAGGTGTTTTTTTT